AATTATTGCGTGAATTTACTTTTGCGATTTTTGAGGAATGGACAAAAATGCGAGATAAATTATTGCGGTTTCGGGAAAATCGGTATACAGATATATGTATCGGAATCAGAATGCGAGTTCTTATTACTACGATACTCATCCAGTCGCATTATTCGCATTAATAGAAACCTCGCAATAATTTCTGAATATATAGTATAACATTTCTTGCGAAAAACAAATAACATCTCCGTTGTAGTTTGAATGCACTGTTGTCTGGTGGGTGGTTATCTAATGAAATCAAACAACACTATACAAAAGAGAGGCGAAAGATACCAGAGGGACATTCAAACTCATAACTCGAAAAAAAAAACTGACAACGCCATGGCTAAAAAAGAAAAAGACCAACAGACAAACAATAGTACTCAAAACACAACATAGAAAACTAGACTGAGCAACACGAACCTCACCAAAAAATTAGGGTGATCGCAGGTGCTCCGGAAGGGTAAGCAGATCCTGCCCAACATGTGGCACCCGTCATGTTGCTCTTATTAATACAAACCCGGTAATATGTCTAAATTGGTAGGTCACATTCGGAAAAAAGGGGATGGGATTGTGGTTACGACATTAGGAACATATCCACTATTATCTGTGAAAACGTTATTCCATAATGGTAAACCAACTTGTGATGGCGTCCTTAAAACTTACGAAGGGATAATTTAAACTTCACCACTTGGAACCCTTGGTTTAATAGCTTCCTTGTGAGCAGCAACCCTCTATCAAGGAAATCATGATAGGAAATACAAGCCCTGGAATATCGTATAAACTGGGAGATATATACTCCGTATGCAGGCGCTGCTGGAATGTTGCTACATAGAAATGGAAAGTTCACAATTGGAAAGCTAAAAATAAACTCCTTTGTCGTAAAGTTTTGTTTTCAACCGACACTCATTGTCAATTTCTAGATGTAAGTCAAGATATGAGGCAAACTTAACTGTATCTGTTGTATCCATTATCTCAAGTTCGATAGGATAGATGCGTTCAACATAGTCACCAAGTTTTGAATTATTTAGTGAGAGAACATCATCTTTATAGCGGAAAGTAAAGTAAAGTTGAGTTTCCAAATGAATTGTCAATACCTAGTTCATTTATTAAGCAGTTTATGTAATATGATTTACACACAAAAACGATGTTGTTTCGGGCTTAATATATAAGTTTCGTGTGTCCAAAGCGCTTTATAGATTTACCTTCTTCTAGAAATCTCAGACCTTAACATTAGAAAGTCTGGGATGAATAAAAACGAAAAAAACTTTAGGAGCTTTATGACAAAAAAGGACACAAACAGTATTACAATTTTTCTCTAAAGTTGACCTCCATGAGGGAATTGAAACCTTTGTAGTTTCTGAATAATTTCATAATATTCTATTACAAATCACTCTTCCTAACATTATGTCACACGCCATCCTGCACTTTTGATTTTACAAAGTATTCAGATTATACCTACCCTTTTTGTTAAGGGCTCTGTATGTTTAGGGTCAGTTATGACGCATTATCTGGACCTTATTGTACTGTATTTTGTTGATACAACAAACGCGCTGTTCAGTATTGTGCTGGCATTCCAGATCAAAAGTTACCAATGAAATCTAATAAACGTCCTAGAAGAGATATTTTACACCACCTTGTGGTATTACTTTGATTTGTGAAAAAGCAGCTGATCCGAACTTTTGCTTAACGGATTGAACTGGAATTAAATCACAATCTCCGTAATTGCATGAACACAATCATCGGTAATGCCAATGTTGTTATCTAGAAATTCTAGGTTAATGAACTATAGTTATAAGTTATTAAAGAAATCGTTTTGTCTCATAGATAAAAATTGAAATAAATAACAACATCCTACTAGCTTCGTCCAAGCGATTTTATACATTCAATAAATTAGAAATGTATAGGTAAACTTATCTTTTACTATCGATATGACAAGAAAAACAAATTCCCCTGTACTTGATAACCGTGATGTCAGTTTTGTTAGCTGCTCTTTTTCTGATCGTTACGTGTTACTAAGATAATGTGCATACTTCATGAGATTAAGGATTATCTACCCCAAGGCACAGATGGCGTTAGCAATATTACCTCATTTTTCAAACATTTAGCTTTTTAATGTTCTTTAAAATCGTATTTGATTATGTCTTGAGACTGATTTGATTTGAGTGCGTCTAAGTCTCAAACTTAAAATAACAAAAAAAAATCAAAATCCAAGGCAAATTCAAAACGTAAAGTCCTTTATCAAATGGCAAAATCAAAAGCTCAAACACATCAAACGAATAGAAAATAACTTTCATATTCCTGACTTGGTACAGGCATTTCCTTATGTAGAAAATGGTTGATTAAGCCTGGTTATATAGCTAGCTATACCTCTCACTTGTATGACAGACGAATAGAATTTTATTATATTGACAACAATGTGTGAGCAAAGCAAACAAAAGTAATAAGTAAAAATGTCAAAAATTAGGGTAATCTTAATCACTATAAAACAAATAACTATTTCCACAAGGAAAAACAAAATTGCATATTGACACTCTATAGACAAAGTATATCAGTAAAAATGAAAGACGAGAATACAAAAAGTACATAACACAATTACACAATGGCGGGATATATAAATACCGAGCCACGTCAAAAGTATATTACCAAAAATGGACTTAACAATAAAGATTAAAAATATACAAAGACAAAAAAAAGACTACTATAACACGTAGTTAAGATGATAAACAACGTCAGTACCTAGAAATAATTTATAGACGAACCGTTCGCTTATCGTAAAAAGTTATAAACCTGGTATCTATAATGAGTGTTTACTGGATTGATTCCACAGACGGTTCCAAGTTTAGTGCCTGAGTATGTATACATGGAATATTAATAATATGGAAAACGTCTGTAAATTTTCTGTTAACATCACTTTGAATTAAAATTGTGTTTACATAAAATATTAATAATAAGGAAAATGTCTGTAAAATGTCTGTTTAATACGTAATTTTTAAGTTAAAATTCAAAACATTAAGTTTTTATTAGCAACATGGCATTAGCCGTATGTGGTATAACTTTTTTATTTTCTATCATTTCGTTCAATAATAATAATGAAATGACATGAATTATGTTGGTATTGAAAAAAAACTCTACTTTTTGTGAATACGATTTAAATGTACATTAGGTAAATTTACATACAAGTATACAAAACAAAGCATGTCAGTTTATTCGCATTAAAAAATTCTTTTATTGGTGAAATGTAAATATAGACACTTTTATCTATTCATTAGATATCTGAAACACCGATCTGGATTATTTTATTTAATTTATCTACAAATAACTTATGTATTGATATGTGCTCCACGGACAAAAAATGAATAATGACTATTAAAATTTCTTTATCTAAATTGATTGAACATAGTTATGATGACGAAGAAATATCTAAGATGACTGTAAGTTTGATGTCTGCTTGATAGGAAGCGATCACTAAAGCATGGATCAGAGATAAACACATAAAGTAAGTCATCAACTGAAATCAGGGTAACAAACAAGACTATATGAATAAAAGACGTAACATATGATTATATTCGTATTCCTCAGAACTGCATTACTTATATTCTTTTCTGGAAATTAAATGTTGCTGTTAGACTACTTCATCATTTTCATTTCTCGTTTCTGATCTGAGAGTTGATGAATAATCGTAGTTACGTCTTGCGATACTGTGTCTGTATGATCATACACATCGTTTTCAAATTGAAGATTTCTTTCTCCAAAATTAGAATTGTCGTAAGTTGGGTCATTTTCGTTACGATTCCTTGCATTGTCGTCATATAAATTTTCTTTTGAATCTGTTCGCCGTTTCGATACACCATTTAATCGATCATATTCTCCGTATGATGTTTCAATAAACGTTTTTTATCCGAATTTTGTAATTTTGAATCCGTTTTTCTGATTTTGTTGACGACTGCATACGTATTAGTTGAATTGATTGAAGCTAAGCCATATGATTCTTTAGATGTCGGCGTCACACTTGTTCTAACTGCTGGATTTTGTGAATGCTCATAGAACTATGTTGAGGACTTCTTGCCTATCCGTATAAGCCGTTTTGAAAAATCCACATGACCTAAAAAATAACATGTAATGTTAGATCTATCTGTGAAAACAGGTATAAGATATAAAAGCGATATTAATAGCTTTAAGTCGAACACAAACAGACAATACTGTAAATAAAAAAAAAAGAAAAGATCGAAAAAAGAAGGAATTCGACAATTCTATAAAATAACATACTGATAATTAGGGAGCCAGCAACAAAACGCCACACACCCTTGGAAAGTAAGAAGTTTCCAGACACGCACTCCAGTTGACAGTGGTTTAAAAATGATACAGATCCGTGTGCAATAGTGCATCAACATATGCTTTAGTTAATCACAAGGTTATAATTAAGTTTGAGTGAATAACTAAGAAATTTGTTATATTTACCAATAGCAAATTCAGATTTATTTTTATAACAGTAAATGTTAAGGAAAATGAAAACACTATTCTTAAATATACTAGTAGCACATATATAGAATATCACCTTATTTTACAAAAAAATCATCACAAACAAAACAACCAATAGTGTGATAGCACCTGCAATGCCACCAACAACTGAACCTAACAAGAAAAGTCAACAATTATAACACATATGAGGACATTACATATACAATCATAGGTAAATCAAACTTTGTTGATATATACCAGGACTTGAAGGTCTTATTTCTGAGAGGAATTGGTCGTTTGTATTCTTCTCAAATGATAAGATAAGATGCACGAAATAATTGTGCTTATAGATGTTTATTCATTGAATTGCAAATAATACTAGATCATTAATAAGGCCTATAATTAGAAGTTAATCCATCAGACGTTCTATGTTGTACACGTTAAACAAAAAGAACTCAGTTATACTAAAGACAATAACTAGCTGGCAAAATCAGATGGGTAATTTAAGTAAATGGAAGTACCTATAGCAAAACTGGCGCTGGAATCTTTATCCATTGACGTTGTTGTAATTACGCTTTGGCTGGAGATTGTAGATGCTTTGTCTAGAAGAATGGTGGACACATTTTTTGAAAAGATTGTTGACTACAATATTTATACCGCATACTCCATTTTGTTTAAAACATTAAAGGTGAATATAATAAATTTGGAAAATATATATCTGTTATTTAAACATGTGAGAATTTGTTTATGGAAAGATGAAATTCAATAATTACTGTTATCAAATCTTCTTCTGACTTAGTGGAGTTTTTTCCACAGTTTCTGTTTTAACCTTGATTTGTGTCTCGTTACTCGGCTTATGAGATTTGAACATCAGTAAAATCATGTTGCTTCAAATTCAATTTAAAGATCGAATAAATCTCTTCATTTTACCGTGATTTCCTCAATTATAAAAATTAAAAACACACATGTCTTGCTTGGAGTCACGAAAAATCATACTTTGTGATTAACAGTACTGATTCCAACAACAAATGAACCTAAAACTATGTAAAATAAATGCTGGACATATTGATCAATAACAGTTCATATCATAAAGAACTTATACCAATCATTCAAACATTAAACATCTTTCCGTGTTCTTTGATATCACACTCAGATATAAAGAAGAAGTTTTATCATGCAAAGACCCACTTTTCAGCGCGTGCTTCTATCTCATACACCATAGTTGACTATGACATTAAAGGAACGAACAATAATAGAATGTTGGCTTCATGTCGTGATCTTTTTCTTGGAATTGACACATGTGGAAGATCTGTTACTCTAAAACGCGTGACTATTTTAGTTTCTCGATTGGCAATATCCTAGTATGAATCTTACGTTTTGCCTCATCGTATGATGTTTAAATATATCAATGGATACGTTACGCGTGTGAAAGTTTATTGTATAGCAACTTCACTGACGCTTATAACGGAAGCAAAATCAATACTTCACATGCTATATGGGACTATCACGACCGATACTACCGACTGTGTCGTTGCTACAACTCATCAGAGTCTTTTTTTCTCTTTCTATTGTTGCGATACTCGCAAGAATGCACCACATATCGTTTTGTTCTCATCATTTATCCAATATGCACATATGCACATAGATGTAAATAGTGATTCGAGGGAAACGATCCCTTCTAAAAAAGTATAAACCAAGCACAAAAAGGCGAAACCTTTATAAAAAATTGTTTTTGAACCTTTTTCTGGTATCTTTACGGCTTTGTTGACGAAGCTGTACCTTGAAAATGGTGAATCACAATTGGTTCTAAAAGGGAAATATATGCATATTTATATGACACTAAGATTGGACTTCTGCTATGTGAAGCAGTATGAGAAAGGGCTCTTCGTTCCTTGTGCGTTAAATTGTGAAAATAATGATCCCTTATCGAAATCTGAACCACATATATGTTAAAACGTCTAAGCTATGAAACTTGTTATCATAAATGCATACATTAACGTTTATGAAATAAATTCATGAACATGTGATTACTAATTCCTACTTGAATTGAAGAGTTTCTTTTTACCGAAGACTATACCTCAGGCTCAACAAGGTTTCATAATGTGTTATATATAAGAACAAATGAACTAGATAATACGTGATTTATTTACCTATTCTGCACACAAACTGTAACTTGTCATTACAAGCTCGTCTGGTTATATGAAGCACTCCTTTTTCTGTTATCGTGCCTACTAAACAAAAAAGCAGTTCTTTTGTACCTGCTTCGGCTGAAAAAAAATTATGGTTTATCATATGTATTTATTAAATATGCATTCATAAAGAAGTATTAATAAAGTAGAGATTAAACTTATCTGATAGCTAAAGTATAACAACGGAATCGGAAACAGGTTATTACAACTTACAAAAGTTCACAAATACTATTAAACATGTGTTAACAATAATTATATATTCAATCACTATCCATGTTAAGTAGAAAGCGTACATGATACACTATACTACAATAACTCATGTCGTGTACATTTAGAATCGGTATCGGACGTTTGATTTGAGGAATGTTAAAAATTGAGTTTTAATTAAATCAATTTATTTTTCACCCAAATTTCCTTTTAGTTCCTAGTGTAAACAAACGTTTGTTTCGCGATACATATATGGTATAAATATATGGTGTGCTTTCTTTCACTTTGGTACCTTTGTATGTTTCAGAGCTTAGTGTGGCGTCCATTTTGCTCAGCTAGTATACCTTATATACAGGTTGTTGTCTCTTTGACATATTCCCCGTTTCCATTTCCCATTCTATACTAGTATATAAAATATCTGTAATAAGAATAACAAATGTGGGTTTTTATTCTTTTGATAATATTGTTTTGTTAAGAATGTTTACGAAAACCTGACAAATTCTATAAGTTTTATTTTAAAAAAAAATTGAGTATCTTCATCATGTGTTGCCTTTCATTCATAGGCACATTATAGATGTCTTAATGAAATTATATGCGACTGTCATACAAGTTAGAGGTTTAGCTAGCTATAAAACCAGGTCTAAGCAACCATGTTTTACACTCTCACTGGTGAGGCTTTTATACACGAAACACGCACCGTGTGTACAGAATTTTAATCCTGGTAACACTGATAAGTTTATCCCATGGTGATGTCATACAATTGTCCTTAAGTGGTTGTTATAATTTGATTAGTAAACACTTTTCTGAATTGTGAAATACTTATAATAATATGCTTATGAAGACTAAACCTTAAACAATGAGAAAAACTCCTCCAAACTTTCCTTTAACTTCAAGAACAAATGATTACAAAACTTCGAAGTTTCTTGTTATGTATTTTTTTTATTTATTTATTTATTTATATTTGCTAAAGGTAAAGTACAAAAAAAACATGATCTAAAATATAACATTATTTATTGTTTTACCTTTTATCAGCTTAGCCTCTGTTTTGGCTCGAAAAACGTTTGTCCATGAAGGGATCCCTTCGAATGTATGATTGTTCGTTTGGCAATAAGTCTCAGGTGGAAGTAAAAGCTGAAATCTTTCCAGGCACAATTGTTTGCTTGTTAAATACGGTTTACCCCATCCAACTTTGTATCCATCATCTTAGAAGAAATATAAGTAAAACGATAAAAAATTGTGTTTAACATTGTATATAAATATAGGATTTGATGGGCATGATTTAAAGTCAGGCTGTGCATAAAGGTTTCATCGAAGGTTTCTGGTTGGAAATTTTGTAAACGTTAATTTTTAACAGATTTTTAGTAAAATGAATTTAAAGAATTAAGTGCAATAATTGAAATAATTTTGAAATACATATTACCGGACTGAAGTCAAAAGGTGAATTGCAATCAAATTATGCACAGATGTATAAACATCTGTTGCCAATGTAAGTGTATAAATTGAGTTTGATATTTACGTTAAGCTTTTAAATCAAATAATCTCTTTGCCAGATAAATCATAAGTAGCCTATTTTCGACAGCATAAGTCCTTAGAAAAATATATAGATACAATGTTTGAATTCCACGTGTTTGATACGACTTCAGTTATTTAAGAAACTGGAGGTCAAATAAGAGCCAAGGGTAAACTGCCGCTTCTGTTGATATAATTTGAAGAAGAATATATCTATGGACACCTTCGCATTACTTTAGGGCTGTCTCGTTTGTGTTCGTGTAAAAACTTTATAACAACAAGCATTAAAATTAAAATGTTAAAGTACATTGAATAAAAAGTCTTTCATAGAAGTTTAAGAAAAATCCATCGTAGAATATTTAAACACCACATATCATAGAAATAGTAATAACTTGAAAATATTAACAACTCAGACTTACTCTATTACAATAGCAGTTCATCATATAAAAAAAGGAGCAGATCCATGTTGAGAACATGTCGCTAATGTTTAAATTCGTGCCGATTTTGTTTCTCATAAGTTGTAGGTGTCATTTAAAGCACATTTAAATTTCTTAAGCATATAATATATAGTGATCGCAAAAATCAATTTATACAAATAATAAAGAATATTTACTACATCTACTGATTCTTGCTGTATTTGTATCATCATTACAATTAGCTGACTTCAATCCATTGCTTCCTGTCTTACAGAATAAAGTCGTACATTCCCCATCGCCATTGTTAGAAACATGCCCGGTAAATACTATATATGGTAAAATGTTAAAAAAAAAATTACAATTCTAGGGCATTATAAATATTTACAAATGAAAACAACACGTCATATAAATTTCATGAGTCCGAAGCGCTTTTCTGGATTTACCTTCATCAGAAAAGCTCAAAGCCAAATAATTGAAAGCCAAGGATTTATGAAAACCGAAACAATTGAAGAGCTATATGACCAAAAATAACCTAAAAAATAGCCAAATCCGTCTAAGATCAACTTTGCCTGAGTTAAAACAAGGCATCCACGGAGAGGAAAAATAAAAAAATATATATATAAATGAGTTATAAGAAAAATGTACAAAATTCAAGCAGTTCAACAGCTAAAGCAAAATGTTAAAACTAGGCTGTTCTTCGATTCATTTTGCTTTGGAATAAATGCTAATCATAGATTTCAAACTGTATATGAGTTAAAGAGAGTCGAAGGAATATTCAACCTCATAATTCGAACATAAACTGACAGCGCCACGGCTAAATCGTCTAAATAAAGTTAAAAACAAGTATTAATTACTTATTTTCTATAAACACCAATATGGTTAATATGACTTTATATTCCATTTATAATTTATACGTAATACAATTGTTATTGTCTTTAAATAGGTGTATGTGACCATGTTAAAATTCGCATTTAACAATAAATGATACATACCTTTATAAACGAAGGAATAGTTCGAATCATTTTCTTCTATGCAACCACTTATATTGTAGGAGTTTCGTTCATTATCTTTATTATGTTGACAAAAACATTTCTTTGTTGACTCCTGTAATTAAATGAAATGTCGTACTTAAAGTTTAGGATAACCCAGAAAGAGTAAAGATTGATATTCTGAGATAAACAAAAAATAATGATAAAATTTTACGAAATGATTAATCATAAAAGACCGTTTAAGTTTTGAGATATATTCTGATATTTGAGATGTGTTAGATCAGTCTAACAACAGAACTGAGAACATATTAATGTGACGAAAATACGAATATAAAGATAAGGCTAAGGATATGTGGTATGAGTATAATTGTCAATTAGACAACTATCCATGAAACAGCAAGGGACAAAAACTTGAACAACTTTAAGTGATCAAATATCCCTTTCAACAATGAGCAAAATACGTTCCACAAAGACAGTTAAAAAAGATTACGGATTTCAGATTGTGGAAAAAAATCAAATAGGAAAGCATAGGGATCTTTTCTGTTAAAAGACAAAAACATACGTAATGAGGCAGAGTTAAATTTGTTTATGATCTTTCATTTGCTGCATTCATTTCGCTTTATTTGATCAAACAAATTCAAAGATATGTAATTGCAATAAGAGTTATGAAACTGAAAGAGATAAGGTAGTGTGTTCTTTTATTAAGCTTCTAACATATGTGACACTGTGTACACAGCTGTCTTTCATTTGCATGTACTCATGTGTGCATGCATTCGTTTTATATATATTGTAATTGAATCATTTGATTTTAAACCAACTATTACTAAACTTGTTTGACATTTTTTATTGATCTTTGAACTTAAAATTAGCTTTAGACTGTCGTGATGATATATCTGTATTTAATTTCAATATTTAATTTAGGTTTTTGTAGAGTGCCTTTTGTGTTATAGAAATAAAGGCAACAGTAGTATACCGCTGTTCGAAATTCAAAAATCGATTGAGAAAAAAACAAAACAAATCCGGGTTACAAACTAAAACTGAGGGAAACACATCAAATATAAGAGGAGAACTACGACACAACAGAAACACAACATTAAAATGTAACACACACAGAAACGAACTATAATATAACAATGGCCATTTTCCTGACTTGGTGCAAGACATTTTAAGAAAAAAATAGTGGGTTGACCCTGGTTTTGTTAGAATGTTGTATACAATTTCAGAATGACCGATCGACTGTTTATCTCCGTTATAAACAAAACAATCAAATATATGTTATTGGGAATTGGTGGTGCACCTTATTTGGTATAGAAATAAGTAAGGAGATGTGGTATGATTGCCAATGAGATATAAGGCTACTGACTTAAGACAGAATGCGGCGGGGTTAAACATTTTTCTGAGCGCTCAAACCCCCACCCTTATCACCAAATCAACCAATACGAGATCATAAGGAAAAGTCAAACACAATTCAACAATAATTGATTTAATGTAATGCCAAAACAAAAAATTCAGAATTTGAATGTAGAAAATTAATAAAAGAGACAAAACATTTAGTTTCAATTCAGTCTATAAAATAATGTAACTGTGCATCATTATGACCCAACAGTGATATATACATACCACTAGAAAGGGCCAACAGAATATCACAATCGAGGAAAGAAAAATTGAAAATATAGGAAAAGAACACTAATCCCGTTCACCATCAATTATGGCGGCACGAATAAACTATTAGACATACGTATATGAAGGTTTAAAAGTGATTTGCAATTGAGTTTTGGTTTGTATTCTTTTAGGTATTTATAAACTTTGAATTTTTATATTTCATTGGATTTTTGTTTGTTTCATTTTTTGTTATATTTTATTCAAATGTTATTGAATTAAATATAAAAATTAAATTAAGTAACCAGGAAATTCATATTTAAAGTAAATTAATACTTACACTGTAACCAAAGAACTGATATGATTCACATTGTTTTTGGCATGATACGATTGAAGGACTGTTCTAAGTATCCTGTCTGTCTGGCACTGAATAAAAACCTGTTTGAAACACACTGAACTTAACACCGTCATAATCAAACATTAGCAACATGAAACATTTCTGTGCGTGATTTATAGCAAATTATGCAATGATTTGACGAATGAAACATAAAAAATGAATACAACTTTGGTAAAGAAATGAGAATAAAAAAGAATACAATAGTCCTGTGATTTTCAATTTTCGCGTCTTGAACATTCAATACTATCGTTTGGCGTAACGATTTGCATAAAAGCTGTTCCGTTGAAGACGTAAGACACTTATATCTTTTTTAGTAATTCACAGTGTAAGTGTTAGGGGTGTGCTGAAACATGTTTTTAAAATATAGACCATGAATTCTAAACTCCACCCCAAATATACCTAAAAAAATTAAACCGATTATTATTAAGATACCGAGTATATCTCATATGTTTATATATGTATATATACTATTAAGATATATTCCCTTGTTTATTTCCGAATGAATCCTTTTTGTTTAGTTAATGAACTATGGAACTTAATTCCAAGTTATCAAAAAGTTGCCTATCGCATTAAAAGCAATATGAAAACAAATACATACACTGACAGGATGACAACAGGTGATAAATGAATGACCATCACCCAAACTGCTCAGGTTCTTCATTCACAATAAAGGGTGTTGGTTTGGTTTGGGATATACGTCATTAAGACAATCATCGAAAAACAAAACTAACTTACAATACACGTAGATGGCAACATAATGATTCAACACAATAATGAATACCATCCAATTCTGTCTGAATAAAGAAGTACATGATTTCAACATTCAAGTGTACAAATGAACTCAAAGTAAAAGTTACGAAATTATTACACTAATTTGTTTTATTTAAACCAGAAATTAAAGTTCCCGTTGTCCAGAGTTTCCAGCAGAAGTAAATGTCTTTTGTACAATTGCAATCAAATATGATAATGACATTCTGTTTTATTAATAGACGTAATTTTCGGAATGATTGGAAGTATGAGCTTGGATTCCCAAATATCTTTTTAAAGCTATCAATAGTTTGACATTTTGTTAAATCATTAGGTCAAGTGAAAACTAAATGTATATCATTGGTTTGATATTCTGTATGTTACTACTGTACACATTATCATTTAGAAATTTATCATGATTAATTTATTTCTGCTATCAAAATTACCCGTGTTTCGTACCTAGAATTTCAATCCATGATGTACTTATACGGTAAATAGCCATTCCAATCCAAAATTCCTTATCTTGCAGCATGGCAATATTCTTCAACGTCTTTTTGTCAAACTCTAATCCATTATTGCCACATCTAAAAGAAGCAGCTTTCCATGTTTTACTGTCTGTGTGAATAGCCCGATCAGATGGAAAACTATGTGCTAAAATAAAAATAAAAATATACTTTCTTTCTATGCTTTTATGCAATGACAGTAAAAGTTTATAACATATTTTATCATAAACCTTTTTGTTTATTTTAAAATATTGATCTATTTCAATGTATACCATGGTCTATGTTAGAGGCAAAAGTTAAAGATAAAAGCAGCAGGTAATTTGTTAACATTAATTTGACCAATTAGTTTGGTAGATTAAAAGCGGCATCTTAGAGTATATGTAAATTTGTGGAGATTATGTTTTGTACATGAATGAAATGCGATTAGGTTGGAAGGAGTGGGTATACACAGCAGCCAAAAAAAACCTGGATTTCAGTACGCCTTGCAGACAAACGTCAACAGAGGTGAAACATTTTAAGGTCATCATTCGGTCTTCATAAATCGTCAAAAATCTATGAAATGTATGTGCTTTTAAAGATTTAAATAATTGTCTTCAATATCAGACAAAACTGTTGTCAATAAAATATGGGCATATCTCTACTCTGCAAACTAATCACCCTTTTTATCAACTGTGATTTACCAATACAGATATACATCAGGATCTAGGAGCAAAATTAACAATTACAGGAAAAGAAATAAACGTTCGATTGGCTAATTACTAAACAAGAAGATGTGAGATAACGCAGCGACACAAAATACACAAAGAAATGATTAATATTCTTTTTGTAGTTGACACACACAACAGATAGTTTTCACTTGTTCAGTTTTTTTAAATCGAATATATTGACATTGATTTATAATTATACACTTGTATGTATCTAACTGTTAGTTTTCGTAAACAGGAAAATAAAACCTGGAATTAAACATAGTAAAGAATTATAGTCAAATTCCCGTCTCATTCACGAGGGCATTAATTTAAAATGTTTTAATAATACATGTAAAAGAGTTTTTACACTATTTCATCTAAATCCTTAATAGCATAGAAAAAGGCCATCAGCTTATTTCTTATACGAAGAGAATTTTTGACAATATCATATTGAATTGATAGTAAAAAATTTTTTTCGTTACTTACCAATCACAGATTTTATATCTAAAACACAAGCTAATAAGATAATCCACAACATGTCTTCAGCCATTGTCATTACCTCTTAAAACTAACAGTAACACAACAATGAAGTAGATGTGATACATAAAAGTTGTTTAAAGCTTTTAGAGTTGGTTGTTTATGATGTAATGTTTACAAATGACGACACATTTAGGAAGTTGAATAACTTTTCAGTAGTTTTCCTTGTATGTTACATATTTTGTTCACTAAAACTACTGAAGCATATACAAGTATAATGGCAATGTATTACATTGATATCACTATTGTATACTAATTAACCCTATAATCAGTCGTCTGTCTCACCAAATCAAAACAGGCACAATGACGCATATATCAATGCATTCCATAGTAGTATAGCTATCCTTTAACACTGGATCATGCGTTATTTTCTTTTTTTGAAAAATAGACACATAAACGTTCTTCTCGGCTGATGTTGTAAGCACGAAAGAAGCCTTTATTAATGTATTTTTTTAGAACCCCTGTTTGTTAGGTGGCCAGCAAGGTCTTGTAATTGCTTTATTACAGTATTATAAGAAATCCTCTTAATTTGTTTAATTCTAATGACCTGACTGTTAGGAAAGCTTCTGGTACAGTATATATACACGTTTAAATATGTGACAAATTTACCACAAAAGTTCTCCATCGGATTTCCTATGGTTATACAGGGCGGACACAATTATTTATGTATGCTTCTTCTCAAATTTAGCCCTACAATGTTAATTTTATTTTTGTTCTTCTCCCATCGGGATTCGAACCCCTGCATCTTAGACACCGTGCCCAGCGCCCTAGACAACTTGACCAACTAGGCTATAACATTTCTTGGTTAGTCCAGTAATGCCTGTCCTCGTCGGCTTTATCTAGGGTTGTAATAAAGTACATAATCTATATTGGCAAGCAGATGGTATACCTTGCAGATATGTTCTTTGTTTGTATATATATATATTTATATATAGAACTATATATATTTGTAACATCCTTTGTTGCCGATATGTTATATTATTTCCAAAGAAAGATTTCATACAAAAATCATTGAGAGAGATCATATTAGTAAGAGACAATTGTGTTGAATTAAAAGCTTGGCCTACCTGAAATTAGGTTTTACTGTTGCAAATTCAGTTAACATAGCGGAGGTAAAACAAAAAAGGGATATCTGCATGTTTCACGTAAGTATTTCTATACGATTATCCATATTATAATGTAAAGTAATCAAGGCATTCCATTTAAGTAATTATTTCGGTGTAAAAGATTCATTAAACGACAATTCCATGAAATGATGTTGTCTTTTTGAAAACCGAACAAGGTGACATCATCTGTATGCCTTCAATGTCAACACCTTACTCTAAGTCTGTATTAATTTTCGTAGATTGAGGATTATATTTTAATGGATATTTGATTTCTTGGTTTGCCAAAGACTGCATTCAAGTCTATAGAAAATGTGTTTTTTCTTTACACACAGAATTCACAAAAATTGGTATCTCACTACTTGGGGATAGACACGTGACTTACCATACAGTTTGGTAACTGTTAATGTTGTATTTAGACTTATCATAAAGTTTGGGCACTAGTTCATTAATGAAGGTAGTGGTTCATTATTGAAGGTAGAATGGTATTTTGTGATCCATTTCAAGCACTGACCTGTTACTATATGTTGTATTGTGACTGCTGTATGGATTGAGTCTTTAACTTGTTTTGACTTTAGCCCAACAGTTTACTGGATAACTACTTAGTTTTGCTCTATTATATAATTAAAAAAAGTGGTCAAAGTTTTCTTATGTCGTTTGGTAGGTTCCTTACTGTCGGATACACAAAAAGAAAACAAAAACTCCATTTCTGAGTGGGTTTTTTTTCTATATCATGTATAAAGTAATTTCTTTCAATTTCAATTTCTTAAAAGTTTAGTTACGTACAGCCTAGGTAATATTGCCCAATCTTCCTAATTTTTATTATTACTGAGAAACATAAGGCTTTACCTTATTTAGTTTATACCATTCCATCAGGGATTTCGTCACCACAAATTTATAAAAATGTTTACTAAATATATCAATAGATACACAAATTTGGTAAAGAAGTTAGGTTATTTCATGAATAGTTCTTATTATGAAATGGTTATCATATCCCATATTTTATGATGATATTGTTTAAAAAGGTTAGTGGAGGGTTTTATCTCACGAATATGTTTCGACCTGCTACATTTTAGTATTGACTGTCGTAAGTTAGGAGCCTGTATTTCAGTGATTGTCGTTGGTATATTTCTGTAAAACGTCTATTTAGTAAACTGTATTGCATATGCCAGGCAGTTGGTTTTCTGGTTTGAATTGCTTCACTTTTTTCATTTGATGCCCTTTATATCTTATTATACGGTATGGGGTTTCTCATTGTTGAAGGGCCATATGGATAACTATAATTTTCATCTTCCTGGTTGGAACTCAGGTGGTTAGTTGTTTTATTGACATCGCCTTATTTTTATACATATTTCGGTATTCATGAGCTGCTTATTCGATGATGTTTATTCATTTCTCATTAATTCCTATTTTTTCAATATCAAATCAATAGATTCATTCGACCTGTATTTTGAAAAAAAAGAGCTAAACATGATTCATCATATATTATGTTCAAAGCATAAGAAAAATTACGATAATAATACTACTGAATTTTTCGCAGTGAGTATGTCTGAAATTTTACCTGAAAGACTAAAAATGACTTAATAAGTTATTGTTGAGTCTTTTAAGCTGTTCACATCAAAATGACCGTTTTACGAGGGGTATTATCTAACATGTTTAAATAATACATGTTAAAGATTTTTTTCACTATTTCACCTAGATCCCAAACAGCGTAAATAAAGGCAATCACTGAATAGTCTATACAAAGTGGTTGGTAATTTGTAGCTTATTTTAGACGCCAGATATCCACCGTTGACTTTACAGGTGTTATACGCTTCCATCAACATGATCAAGGTAAACAGTCCACGTGGGGACAGCAAAACTGAAACGAGTAACATCGAATGAAAATCCTCAATTGAAGCATGCAAAACTCATAACATCACCAACAAAGGAATATGTACTTAAGTGATTGAATAATAAAGTCTGTTTTGGACAGAACTATGTTGCACTGAGTTCACATGAACTATTCCAGGAAAAGCGTCCCATTTTCTAATGGTAAAATATAAGTCGTGAAATAATGTAACATTGTATAGTTTACCATGACAATTTTGTTCGAACTATTCATGTCTTACGAAAAATTCATCAAAGTAGATTTGGCAAAATGGTCAAACAACATTGTACCTAGGAAACATTCAAAACCCATACATCGATAGAAACTGACAACACCATTGTAAAAATGAAAGACGACGGAAAGACAAACAAGTTTTACAATGCATTACAGAACGGATTAAAATCATACTGTCATACTCCGACAACACTGTAAACGTTTCTTTATCAAATTGTAATACCTGAACTTACCGTGACTGTATGAAAAGCTAGCAAAGAAGGACGTCAATAGAAATTCCATGACAACACGTATTGTCTTTTTGTACACAAGGTTACAAGCATTGGTAATCAAGCATAAAAATAAGTTTAATGTTGTATTATTCACACATGTGCATGATTTACAGATATATCGTATCTGATTAATACGCCTTTAAGTGCGACATGATGTACACACTTAATGACAAAAAAGATAATTTGATACAATGTTAGTATGTTGTTTTATCATTTATTATTTACATATTAATCTACGAATGAAGTATAAGAACATGCTTATATCATCACTGCATTTAGTAGGATTTATATTCCATTTGACGAAAATTTGAGTGAAGCAGAAGTCAATTCAACAATATATAACGCTAAAATTATCAATGAAAATAAATGCATGAGGATTTTATCAAAAAAAAAACGAGAAATAAAAAAAAAAAAAAACAGTTAACTATGCGTTTATTATTGCAAGTGTCAGAACTCTTATAGAAATTGCCATTATATAAATAAGGATTTTTTTTTGTCCATGAATCTTTGTCGATTTTTATGTTTTCCCGGTTTTTTTTTATTAAAGAATCTAGTGTGATTGGCCCTGTTTTTTTATTACAAAAACTCATCATTAGTGGTAGGACTTGATATATGGCATTGTCTTGAGTATATAGATAAGCATTCTGTTAACATTTTGTTGAGGTATGTTTTATTCTAATGCATGGAGGCTCCCTTGCTGACATTTACCCACATCTACTTTGTATATTTACAACATAGTATATATTGCTTCATATATCCTCATTTTTGAAATACGCTTTGTAGTAAATAAGTCCTTTACTGTGTTGGAATATAGAAACTTAACTACGTACCTATCAATCAAGAGAATGTGTAGTTCGTTTTAAAAGTCCATGCTTTTTTTTATTCATTTTCGATTTACCTAATTTATCCGCAGGTGTATTCGTGAAATAGTGAATAAGAACTTATCTTTTATATCTTTTTAATCCGGCAATAACAAGAACATATATTACGTTATAGAAAATGTAGAATTTATGTGGTGTTGTACAACAAGACAAAACTGAACATATGCATTTTCTGACTTATATACCGTAAAAACAAACCTCCAAATATTTGCAAGATGTGTATTGTATTTCAACGATCAAATTAATGTGGAATATTCTATTTTTTTTGTGCATTTAGGAATAACTACACATGACGGAAATCACTGTCTAGCTATAATAAAACATTAACTGTAAATGCATGAACGAGGAACAGATGAATTGTTACCGTGTATAAAAATAAGAGTCATTGTATATTACTTTTATACACGGATAATGCTATGTGTTTGTTCTTGTTTCATGACATTATTACCGCGAAAACGCATATTTATTGTTCAACAAATTTTAATTAACTATTCATTATAATTGTTTACTCTCTTGTCTGGCAATACAATTTATTCTTCCTCCTCTCTTCCCTCCTCTCCATTTAATTGAATAACATGAGAGTTTCTCTAAGGAAAATACACATATTGGTCATTTTATGGAATAAAAGAAATATGTAAATGAAAAAAAAAGAA